TTTGGCGCGTAGAGCTGCTTTTGTCACCAGTTGTTTTCCAGCGCTAAAAATCATGAGCTGATGAGGACATATGCACATGTCAAATGACCACACAATGCACCAAGCGCAGTTAGTCACAGTTTGTTCGACCAGATTGCCCGTGCCTCGTCAAGTGCTATGCAGTATGAGTACGGAGAGCATATCTTCACAGTGCTCGGTGTGATGGCCTGTTTAAACAAGCCTATAGACCAAGTGGTGTCAGCAATCCTTTCGAACCGCACTTCGGACAGCCCATCTCGTGGCCTTTTGCAGTAATTCATTGCCCAATTTCTGTTTCACCCTTCTGTTTCACCCTTGCATGTACATCCAAGAGTCTCCAACCTTGTGTTTCTGTTTGTCGTTTTTGTTTTGGTTTTGGGGCGCTGTTTGTTTTTGTGTTTTGTTTTGTGTTTGGCACCCTTCATGATGGAGACTCTACAAAAATTGCACAGGCTGACCTGTGCACTTCGTGCATGAATGGCGGCTCGACTCGTGCAAAAAAAATTCCAAGCGACATGTACAAGGGGTAAGAGCGCAAACGTGGTGTTTCCACTCCTTCTGCACCACATCACTCTCTCGGCCAGCCCAGAGCAGTTGCCCGCCTTTGACGAAGATCCTTGCTCATGCTTCCTAAGCTCAAGACGGACAACACAAATTGCTTCCTTGATCTCCCTGACACCTCGTTCAGCACCTCCGACAACATTACTGAGGAGCTGCCTTGGACACTATATAGGTCCTGACCAAGTTCGAACGTCATCGGCTGCATCTGTCCTGAAATCAATCGGCTCCTCCGCTCTTCCTGAACCCAAACCAAACTGACCCATGATCGCACGGATGGAAGCACTGGTGGTCGCGGCGTTCTCAGACACAAGACATGTGTCCAAGAGACCTGAAAACATCTGACGGAACACTAACAACTTGACCTTCTGACCTGCATGACCCAAGAAACGAATGTCGACCTGGACTTCCAAGACACGTTGAGCTCTCGACCTCCTGGGACTCCTACCAGCGCCTCGCCCACTTGCACATTGCGTGCAATCCGGGTCATGCGGGTACATACTCTGGACAGCGCTCACCGTGACAAGACTCTAAGACCATCCTGCATGGGGTCCTCCTGGTCGACATCCATAGGTACATCGCGGTCCTTCAAAGCCTTCAGTTTCCTCACACTTGCATTAGCATTCGAACGTGATGTCACTGATCAACAAGCCGTGCTGCTCATGCCACAGGTAGCTCTCATCCGGGCCCAACACAACCAACCAACCACGCTTCGTCAACTGCGTCGCACTCAGGATGTTGCGCGCTGTTTGCTCAACGTGGGCTTCAATCTGGACCTGAATGGACTTCAACCTGCCTCATTGTCAAGAGCCTCCAACTGCGACAACATCATTACTTCCGAACCATTCGCGGCTACAAACCTTGTGCGTTTGCTCCTACCGCCTCCAGCTGACATGTGCGATACTGGTATATAATTACTCGTAACTTGCAGATAGCACTGACACGGACGCTCCTGAATCCAGCAACGACCAATGGCCTTCAGCCATCACAGTACTGCTGATCAACAATGGGTCACTCATCAGAAGTGGCATCAATACCGCGACGTTGGCGGTCTCCTCGCCATCTTCAGCCCAGCATCCTCTGCCCACTGCTCTTCCCAGCTGTCGTCCCACCACTCTTCCGCCAATGTTGTCTCCGCCACCACGAAAAACGTGGGTAGCAGACCTTACGGCAACTACACTTCCTCTGGATCTTCAAGCTTACAGCAGGCTCTCTAGATAAGTTCGGTGTACTCCAAAACTAACAGTCATCAAACGACTGTACATGTGCACACTACACACAAGCAAATCTTTACAAAAAGACTCGAAAACGGCACAAAACTCTTTCAAAACTTCAAGAAACAAACCACAGTGTTGCTGTCCGGTTCTCTCCCCTTTAGAACACAAACTAAAGCAACACAAAGCAACAAAAACCAAACAAAGCAACAAGCACGAGTACACTCGCCCACATTCACACTCACTCACCCCCCTGGTTTCCGAAAGCCTTGCACTCTTGTTTGCAAAGTCAAGGCGGGCCTCGCGGCCTCGCGCATTGGCAAAATGCAAGAATGATGGCCTCGGCTTGGCCTCGCACTTTGGTTGACAAGGGATCAGCAGCTTTTCATGTCAGTCTCACGATCATGCACGCAATAGGTTGCAAAGAAGTGGCGCAAACACAAGAAAGTCTCCAAAAAGACTAGAATGTTTCATTGGTCTCCTCATGTGGTGTTCAGCCCTATTCCCACTCATCCGCACCCCGCCTGCAACTTTGTTTAGTTGCAGCCCTGCAGATTGGACATCGGTCAGGGACTCATTGTCAGATGACTTGGTCTTCGTAAGAATTCCCCCCCCCGCACGGCCATCCCTCAGCATACTTGTTTCAGTGCGACCCCAAAACGGCACGCGCAAGAGCCAACTTTCGGGCATTTCCATCACGGAGCGCAGAATCTGGATGCGCATCCAAACAGGAAACAATCCATCCGGTAAGCTCTCACTAGACAGTCTTAGGTATTAGAACTTTGTGGAACAAGGGCTTCGCGCTGGATGTTTGCTAGTCTCCATGCGGCCCAGATTGCAACCTGCAGCTACGTTAGCCGCGGACGCTTTCGCTTCCAGGAACCAAGCCGGGCTCGGTGGTTTCATCCGATGGCACGATGACTCTGTCAGATGGTTCTCACTGCCTGTGGATCGTGAGATGCTCCAAAGTTTTGGGCTGACCCCCCATGAAGACCTGCAAAGGGACATTACCATGTTGGAAACCTTAGTGCAGTGTGCCTTACTCTTCATGGCGGCCTCCAGTCTTCAAAACAGTCGCATCCCTTTGTCTCTTGCTAGCTGGAGTGATAACACTGGAGCCGAAAGCAACTCCAACAGCCTGTTCTCCACTCAACGGCCTCGGGCCTAGGTTCTTGAAAAACTAGCTCTTTTAGCTTCTCACTTTAACATTTTTCTCGATGTTCATCACATCCCTGGTGCCCACAACGAGGAAGCCGATGCCCTAAGTAGGCTCCAACCTAACGCTGCTGCCCCGTTCGGTTTCACGGAATGTACTGTATTCGACTTCACTTCACTCTGCCACAGCTGTGGCAGGATACCCCTCGCCCTAGATTGTTTCCAAAGGAAACGTGCCCGGGTTGGTGGATCACTGTTTTTCCTTCCTGAATCTCCCACATGCTTGGGGACTTCTAAGGGCGGTAGATTCATTAGATGCTTTGGGTTGCCTTTATCGATGAATCGATCCCATTCAGGCAGCAAGCTTGCTGTGCAAAGTAGTCTAAAAACCCCTGAACTGGCAACGTGTAGTGTAGTACACATGTACTGCGGGAAGCAAGATGTGGGAGCTGTGGGCTCAGAACTGGCCACATGGTCACGTGGTAGTACAAATTAAGTGCGGGAAGCAGCTTCTGGCAGGTGTAGAGAACTGTCCACTTGGTAGTGCAAATGTAGCTTCTGAGAGCCGTGGCCTCAGAACTGGTCAGAACTGTCAACTTATGTGGCCAAATTACATCTGAGTACGTGAGTGTTGTACGTGAGTGCCCCACAAGAGTGTCCAGCAAGAGTGTTGCACAAAAGTCCCACAAGATTGTCCTGCGAGAGTGTCCCACAGAGTGACGAAAGCGTCACACGAGAGTATCCTACAAGAGTGTCTCCTACAAGAGTGTCAAGACATGATTGGGTGTTTTTTTCCAAGTATGTGTCCTTCACTGCAACCAACTCATCCATAAGACGATGCCTTTTTGCGTAGTAGATTTGATCTCTGCAAAGCGTGGAGGGGGCAATGTGTGCATTTGTCAGCCCATTGTGCGCATTGCTGATGATAGCTGATAGCTGTTTGCAAGGCATGACTGATTGGTGAGTTCATTATAGGCAATCATCCAGTCATTGCCGGTCACTCGGGCATGACAAGGTGATGATGGCCATATACGCCCAAGACCCTTTTGCAAATCGAAAATGAGCACCTGCGCCTTTAAATTCTCTTCGTAATCAGTGCAACCAACCTCAATGTCAGTGGCGCACGTAGCGAACCACAGACACCGAGTTGTCACATTTGGGCACATTCCAAAGGTAGTCCACGTGTAGCCAGCTATGCCGTCACATGTTCTTCTATCGCCTTCTTGTCGCTTGGATCATTCACAATGGAAACGTGATTTTGTAGGTTAGCGACCGTTTCCCGCGACAGTTCTTTGGGGAACTTGCTTGAGGCGGTTCCAGGATTCCGAAACTTGTTTCTTTGTAGTAAACAGGCCACATGTGAACAACAACAGCACACAGATTGCGGGCCACCACCTCGCCACATGTTGTGCAAAAAGGTTGTGGTGACATTCAGTTTGCAGGTTGCAATATATATATATATGTACACACAACACCGAATTTGATTGATGATTGGTGGCATTTTGGCTCTGAGATTAGCCCACAGGCCACGAAGGTGCCAAGCTGACAGCGCCCCAGGTGACAAGCGGTCTCGGTTGCAGACCCTCAGCAGCTTGCGGTTCGTGTAGCGTTGTGCCTTGCCAAGGTTCAACATGTGGCCAAAAGCTGCCCGAAGACTGGCAGCTCTGGCAATAGTGACTGTGGCGACCTGAGATTCTTGCGGAAAAAAGGCAACAAACGCATGGTTGACAGTTTAGAGTCTGAAGCAATTTCCAGGCCGCCCATGATGAAATGCATAGCTGGCTGGTAAGGTTGGGCAATTTGATCTTTTGCCACCCTGAACATATTGCTTTGTTATACCTGCTGTAAATACATATATATATATAACTATATTAATTTGTATAGACACACATAATAGAGCGTTTATCGTCAACAGTGGTCTTCTACATGTCAAAACCTACCGACATTGACACACGCGCCTGATCGCAGATGCTCCAAAGATTGCAATGGGCGTAACCAATGCGAAGAGGCTGCTCTTTTGGATGTCAAACTTCAGGAATTCAATGGAGCAAATTTCAAAATAAACATAACACTAAACTCCATTGGAACTTAGACTGCAAAATTGCATATTTGGAAGCCATGCAGCTGCACAGGATTCAAATTTAGTTTTGCATTTACCATGCAGTCGCCTGCTGGTGCCGTGCAATCAGCACGCTTCCAAGAGCTCTGTGAAGATATAGACAGGTTCTTGGATCCTTCATTGGCCAGTTCCAATGCAAGTCTATGTGATGGCGACAGCAAGGCAACAGCAAAGCTTTCCTTGTCAAAAGGACAGGCAGCTCTGGAGTTGCAGCGTCTATCACGAATCAATGAAGGCTTGAAAGAAGAACTCGAAGGTTGCCAACAGGAGCTGGCCAGAGCTCATCTAAAGCCTACCCGAAAAGGTTTGCAAGAAGAACGTGACCAGCTTGAGATAGAGCTGCAAGCAGAGCGGACAAAAAAGAGACGCATCAGTGAAATGGAGGATGAGCTGACCAAGCTGCGACGAGAGCGGGATTTGTTGGCTTGTGAACTACAGGAAGTGCGAGAAGAATGTCGCCAGAAGGGGAGTCAAAGGAGTGACGTGGCAGTCCTAGAAGACGAGAAAAAGAACAGTATCATTTCCAGTTTGCAGTCCCAGTTGCTGCAAAGCTTGAAGCAAAGCCACACTCCCAAAGATGATGTACTGAAGTCTCGAGTTTCAGAGTTAGAGCAAGAAGTGCTCTACTTACAAATGCTTTTGAAGGAATCCTATCCTGAGCATGACCTAGCTTCGCAGTTGCGCAGCAAACATATTGATTTTGAAAGGCAGCTGCATGAATCTGAAAAAGTTCATGTAGATTTGTTGCAGGCTCGGGAGAAGATCCTTACACTTGAGCAGGAAAAGATGTCCCTCCAGGCGGCTGTGGACATTCATGAAAAAGCTCTGAAAGATTACAACGATGCACAGGCAGAGATTGCACGCACACGACAAGACCAAGATTTGTATCAAGCATCGATAGCTGACATCCTGACTTCCGCTCGACAGCTGCTTGACATGCCAGAGTCTCTATCTGAGCCAAGTCCATCAAACTTGAGGCTTGTTTGGTCTCGGCTTCATTCACACTGGACCAAAGAGGCTCACAAGGTCTTGGAATTGCAGCGACAAGTCTGTGAAGCCGAAGAAAAGCAGAGTCGAGTCAAGACAGAGATGAGCAAACTTCAGATTGACTTCTCTTTTGCCGAACTGCAACAGCAAGAGCTAAGAAGAAAACTCAAGGAGTCAGACGGATTCCTCCAAAAACTCAGAGCTCAGAACACCGTCTTGCGAGAAGCATTGGCAGGTAAACAAATTCACATCCAGCATGAAGATCTTCTGATTGCGGATCAAGGGGCTAGTGAAAAGGACTTACAACTAGAGACTTCTGCTCTTCAGACAATGAAGAAGGAAACCGAAAGTTTGAGGCAAGAAGTGGAGCGGCTCACAGATGTCGAAGGAAAATTGCGAAAGGTGGAAACCACCAACGCTGAGTTGTGGCAAGCAAACAAGGACCTTGAACGCCAAATCGCACAGAAAGAGATGCAGAACAGTTCAATTCCCACCGATCAAATGAATCCCTTGTCACAGGCAGACTATGATGGCCGCACAACCAAAATTGTACACCTATTGCGAGGGCCCTTACAAGGGGCTGGAAATTCCTACGATTTGGAACAGCAGCAAGCCGCGAGGCAGCTGGAGCGATACAAGAAGGCCACAAAGAAATATGTTTCCGAGTTTAGAGAAGGTCTTTACCATCTCCTTGGTTGGAAAGTGGAAATGCGAGGTGACGGAAGCTCCCTAAGATGGCACTTGACATCACGCTACCAAGACGGGCATGTCCGAGAGTTGGTTTTCCAGCTCCGCCCAGGACGAAGTGGACAGCCGGCTGAGTTTGATTTATTAGGGACTCCTTGGGCCGAACAGCTTCAAAGTGACCGCCAAGCCATGGCCTACTTGGAGGTCTACAATTCCATTCCCGGCTTTTTGGCCCACGTCACCGTGGATCGGCTAGCCCAGCAAACTTTCACTCGTTAGACAAGCAAAAGCGGGCAAAAGCGGGCAAAAGCGGGCAAAAGGCAGGCTTCAACCGTCATTGAATCCTTTTAGTGAGGTACCAGCCAGGTAAGAGGGTGTGTTCCTATGTGTGCTGGTTTTGCTTGGTTTGTGAGGTTTGCTCCGGTAAGCAGATGCATCACCATGCATGTCCTTACCAGGCAAGGCCCGTGCTTGCAGTAACACTAACCTAGCAGCACATGCAATACGATTGTGAAGGGCAAACTTCGATGCGAACCCAGGCTGACTGTCCTTCTGTCAACACATTCTGCCCTGATGGGGCAGAGCCCGCTCCGTGTGTGTTCGATGCCCAGGCTATCTTCAAATTCAATGTAATTGAAAAATCTAGAAACCAAATCATTACCACGAGCGCTTCCTTGAAAGAAGCCTGAGCTGTCCTGCGTCCTACCTAGAAGCTAACTTAGTCTAGTAGCTTGCGAATTTGTCCCTTCCTGAATTATATAACTAGGCAGGGGGGAGGAGCGGGCAAACAAAGAGGAAAAAGGGCAGTCCACCTTCAAGAATGTGGCTGTTTTGAGGTTTTCAGCGTGGACACAGTGGTCAGAACCTCTTGGATGTGCTGGTCTTTGCACAAGGACCGTCAATTTGGCCTTCGAACCAATTTGCCGCAGAGGGCAGCCGATTGAGCAGTACCGTCGATGCAGGAAGCGCGAAATTAGGCAGCAGAATAGTTGCGGGGGATCAGCCTGCGAGTGCCTTGCTGAAGTATGTGGCAGCTGTTGTGCATTTTTTGCGCGGGCAGTTTCTTGATTTGTGCTCAGGGGACCGCTACATGATTCAAAATATTGCGATGGAGTGAGCTCTTGCGAGACAGCTTCGAAGGCCCCACACCATGAGAAGGTATGTTGGGAAACTTTAACCCGCACGTCTCAAAGGACGAAGAATCCTTATGTTTGTCAAAGAAACACACTATATTGTTTCTGTGACATAAACTTGTTTTTTGGATGCTTGGAAGGATTGCAAGCTTGGTGCGTGGGGAGAGTGGTCCCTTTGCAACGCCAATGTGACGCAACAAAGGCCATTTCAAAGCCAGCAAAGCAATTTCAATGGGGTGCCCGGGTAGCCTTTGCAGGGAAAGAAGACGAGGAGTTCAAGATCTTCCAGTGTGGAGCCAAGTTCAATTTCTCATTCAAAGTTCACTTTCTTCAAGTTCTCAGCACTTCCAGGCCAGAGGTGGTGCACCATGTGATGGGGCTCTTCTTGAGACGCAGGAACCCATTCTCACACACAGACGAACGAATGAACTTGCATATTTTGGTTGTTCACTGCTACTATTCAACTTGTATTCCATTCTTCTTGATTTTTTACACTCTCCAAAGAGTATTTCAAGAAGGACTGTGGACCTTCTGCAGCTGAAAGCATGGACTGCCAGTTGTCGGAGTACTCCACTCAAATTGATTGTCAACAAGCGACGAGAGAACGATGACAATCTTGTTGTTTGATCATGTTTGAATGATTTTGAAGGTGGATGCAATGGAGCTCCTGCACAACGACGTCAGGGTCCCTTTTTATCGGAGAATGGGTGGTATGAGTTTATGTTTTGACCAGAGTGCAATTGGGGACAGTACCATTTGCCAAGGTGTGGAAGTGGACAACGAGGGCGCTTGAGAACAATTTTTCGACATGCAGCTTGTCACGATCTGCGTTGAATAGGTTGCATTTGAATCTATACTGGTGCTCCAAGCGCTGTTTTCTTTTTAAGTACACTTCAGTTCCATTCGAGTTGTAATGCTCTCGCCCTTTTGTCACACGGTTGTTCAAAGCGTGTCACCTGACACACTTTACTTTGTGTATTTGTATGAGGCCAAAAGTGGGGGCAGGCCTGGTCTTGAAACGAGACTACTATATTTTTGCATACATACATGCATGCATGCATCCATCCATGCATCCATGCATCCATACATCCATACATCCATACATCCCTACCATATGCATCTGCTGCTGGGTGGGCAGCATTGCTTGGACCTCCATCTCGTGAAAGAGCTTGAGAAGTGGTTGCAGTGCCAGAGGTGGCGCAGTTCTCAGGAGCTGGGCAGTCACCGCATCAGGACCACATGCTTTATCCGGGAGATGCTTAAGCACCCATGCCAACTGTCCCACGGTCAGTGGTTCAAGCTGCTGTGCCTGTTGTTGGGCTTGCTCACGGATGCTGGGCCGATCATGTGGTTGATCTGTTTGTCTAATCTGCCATAGCTGTCCCCAGTCCTGTAGTCGCTGTGTCATCCGCTCATCCGGTGGTAGCTGTCTGTATGGTCTCTCCCATGCCAACTCGCTGCTTTTGAGACTGCGAAAAAGGCCGCGGAGGCCCTTGGCTTGTCCTTGCTTCAGCCATTCCTTGTACTGCAGGTGGTTCTCGTCATTTGCTGCCTGTTGTGCTTCTTTAAGTTGGTGTCCAATGGTGTGGTGGACAAGGTCAGCTGCATGAGGATCCCTGTATTTGTGCCAGTGATGACATGTATCAAGGAATTGTCCCCATGTTGGTGGGCCGATCCAGTGCTTTGGCGTGTCCTGGAGGGCATGCATGAAGCCTCTGATGGGCCCAGCTGTCATCGTTTGTGGCTGTTTCACTGCCAATTGGAATCGGACTTGGAGCTGCTCCCAAAATGCTGGCTTGCCCTTTTTCCAAGTGGTGGTAGTTTTTGTAGGAACCAGCGGTTTGACAACAGCTTGGAGGTTGGCTCCTCTGCCCTGGGGCGCCCACGGATGTTCCTGCAACAGGTACTGCTTGGTGCACGAAATCCAGTCTGCCCACTTTTGAGCCAGAGCATTGGGTGGATTGCCGTACAACTCGATCTCGAAAGCTTGCGATTGATACGTGGTCCATGGCCTGAAATCAATATCAGGTGTGGCTGGCAGTGGCGGGAAATATTGGATTTGCCTGTACTCTTTGGTGGCTGCCTAATGTTGAGGTGGAGTGTCAGGAGGGCATGTGGCCTCCATGGGATGGCCCAGTCAGTTGCGATAGCTGTCGTGCCTGCCAGTGTGTTGTGCAAGAGGGCATAGTCGATCACATTGCCTGAGAGGATGCTATGGTCAGGAGCCAGAACCTCAAAGTGGAACTTGGATGGAAGCACTGTGCTGGTGATGCTTCCAGGGCTGTTCTGCCAATCCCCAAGTAGGACATAGGGATGGGTTGTTGCCTCTATGAGAGCTAGGATTTTGGCTATGATCGTGGCATTGGTCTCACTCTGGATGTTTTCGCCCATCTTCAAGTAGACTCCGGCCACCAGGATGGTGCATTCCGTGGCCTGCCAAAGAAAAGCCTGAAATCCACAGCCTTGCAGGGTGAACGACTCTAGTGGTGTAAGGCCACAGGATTGATCACCCGGGACCAGGATGCCGCCATGTGTGCCTGTGTTGTCCTCATTGGGTTGAGCTGGGGTGCCAAATGCTGTCCTGCCTCTGATTGTGAAATACTGGCAGGTCTGTTGGCGCTTCTGTGGATCAAGGTGCGTCTCAACGAAGATATACACCTCACTCTGTCGTGACCAATACCAGTCAAGGACTTGCTTGCCGAAATTGGTGACGTTGCCAAAGTGCAACTGGTTGTGGGTCTGCTCAAGTCTTGGTTTTTTCTCTGGGCTTGGGTGTAGCGGTGGATCGAAGTCCGGCTCCTCAGGAGGTGGGAGCGATCTGATCACTTGCTGTGTTGTTCTGAACGTGTCAATGTGGAGCGCCCAGATCTGAGTGACCTGACTGGCCAGCTGTGGTGTGAGGTGCTCCAAATGGATGGGCGTTTGCCATCGTCAGCAATCCACATGAGGTCTCTGTAGATGAGTATGGCAAAATAGTGACCTGTATTGTGGCTGGGTCCTCGGTGACAGATGAGTGCTGCCGGAACGAACTCTGAGGATGTTCGAGCAAAGCCATCCAGTCATCAGGAAAATCAATAGGTTCCAAAGCGTATTGACGAAATGGCTGGCGTCACCTTGGATATTGAGGTTGTGCTTCTTCCACAAGGGTTGGAGTGGCCACTGGAGTGCAAACCAAAACACGAGCTTTGCAGGCATTGTGGCATTGGCCAAGCACACCACCACCTCCGACCTAGAAAACATGGCGCCAACCCAAAAGCAGAGCCCCGTTCCAAGACCTGCTTGAGGAAGTCACAGACCAGGACTTTGACAGAATCACCGTCCTTTACAGCGCCCAGATACCGCAAAGCCATGAGACAGGCATTAGCCAAGCACCCTGGCCACCATGCTGGAGGCCTCCTTGACAGCGCGTATGACCTCCATAGCAACAAGTACATGGATCCGGCTGATCAAACCCTCATACACCACATCAAGGCCATGCACGCTCTTTCACACATGGCCAGAGGATCGGCAATCCCATCTCGACCAAGCATGGCAGGCCATTCACAACCAGCTTCAAGACAAACAATATCCATGGTACACTGTCCGAGGACCCACGGCAGCAACCATCACCTATATGATGGAGTGGAATTGGCAGGTGCACACCCTCCACAGATGGACAAGAGCCGCCAATGACTACCTCTTGGAGAATGAGACCTCCCTCCAGGATCCCTGGTGGAAAGTAGAACGAGCCCTTCTTCTTGAAGCCAAGCAACAAAGCACAGCCAGACTGGCACAACAGCCTCACCACCAGCATTTGATCACAGGGCTTGACTGGCATACCTACCGGCAAGTGCAACGCACCCTTCCAGTGGATCTCAAGCCACATCTGAAGACATGGGCGCAAGCGGCCATCCACTATAAGGAAGGCGGACAGCCCAAACAGTGTCCCATCTGCCACGTTCCGGCCACTCCCAAGCACATCATTTGGGTGTGCAAATGGCACCATCAACAGCAGCACAAACCAATGCCTCCGGCATGGGCGGAGCGGATATTCCACCATGACGAAGAACCTTTATGGAGTCATGGGTGGATACCACTTGAACCACAAGAGCAGTGCGCTCTCCACGGGTCCTGGCAAGACCTCCAAGCACTTGCGCCACACCAGTACCAAGGCTGGGCTTTCACCCTCGATGCCACACCGTCG